CAGGCAACCTGTCCTTGCCACACCCTCCCTGCTCCCTGACTCTGTCCTAGAGGAGTCTTTTTTTTTTTTTTAATATTTTTAGTTATAGCTAGACACAATACCTTTATTTTATTTATTTATTATTATGTGGTGCTGAAGATCAAACCCAGTGCCTCACATGTACCAGGCAAGCACTCTGCAACTGAGCCCAGCCTCAGCCCAAGAGTAGGTCTTTATGATAAAAACTCATAGCCCCCTCTCTGCTCCCTCATGGCACTCATCTCATTTGGTTGCACCTGCAGTCCCAGCTCCTTGGGAGGTTGAAGTAGGAAGACTACTTGAGTACAGAAATTTGAGGCCAGCCAGGTACCAAAGTGAGACCCCATTCCTAAAAATAAAATGGGAGTTGTTTTTTATGTAGATATACTTTTAACATATGTAAGGCCTAAAGCAAGAGTACAAACCAAGGCTCAGAAGCTCATGTTTAAATGTTTAAAATGTATAATGCAAAGTAACAAATTGTTAAATAAGATATTTTATTTTTAAATTTTTTAAAAAATATTTATTTCTTAGTTGTATTGGACACGATACCTTTATTTTATTTATTTTTATGTGGTGCTGAGGATGGAACTCAGGGCTTTGCACGTGCTAGACAAACACTTTACTGCCGAGCCACAACCCCAGCCCCTCTAATTTTTTAAAAAAAGTTCTCTTTATTTTTGTGGTACTAGGGACTGAAACAAGGGGCTCTACCACTAAGCCCCTTCCCCATCCAGTTTTACTTTTTATTCTTGAGAAAGGGTCTTGCTAAATTGCCAAGGCTGGCCTCAAACTTGGGATTTTCCTGTCTCAACATCCCAGGTCATTGGGGTTACAGGTGTGTGACACCATATCCAGCTAAAATGTGTTTTATTTTTATGCCTTGACAAATATATACTTCATAACACTCTGGAAGGCCAGGTTCAGTTTTAGATTTTGTTTGGAATCCTCAGGGTTCTGTATAAAACTTTTAGGGGAGAGGCAGCTTTCAGCCACTGGTCTTCAGCTGGAACCACTTCTCTTCCCACCTGCCCCTGGTACCACTGTGGAGTGTGCCCAGCTGTGTTTATAAACACATGGGCCTGCTACCTTCCCATCCCAGCTCTGTCCACACTCTCCTGCAAGCAATCACCTCTTGACTGACTTAGGGATGTGTGTACCAGTAGTGTCTAGCTATGGGAAGGAACACTCAGAAAAGAAATCATGTGCATCCTAGATGTGAGCTTGGGCTCTTTGAGCAGGAAATTCCTAGATATCTGGAGTATGGTTTTAAGAAGGATGGAATATGGGCAAAAGAGTATTGGACTTCTCACAACATGGGAGTGCTCTATCAGAAGACTGCCAGCATGGAGCCTTCTGAAGCACGGGCCAGGGTAGATCTGCTCTTGTCTGGACCTAAGGGCAGTAATTTGATGCTCCATATCAGCTGCATGTAGACCAGCTGACAGTGTAAGTCCTTGAGGTATCCCTTGTGCCTAACCCAGAGCCTGGTACAGAATAGGTGTTTGATAAATATTTGTCAAATAAATGTGGGAGGTACACCAGGAATAGCTTTGAGGATTTGGATCCATTACTGAAGATCTAGATAAGCAAGGGCCAGAAGTAGGAGTGACACTGGCCTTCTAGGGTTCCAAAATGGGTGTGCGGAACAGATGAGGTTGGGGCAGCATCCTGGATCCCATTCCCATTCCTCTTCCTTTGCCTGTCTGGCCCTCTTACCCCACAGTCCAGCATCCTTCTGTCCATAATCTTTCTACTTTTTATGGCTGCCACTCTTCCTCTGCAGCATGACATTCTATCTGTCTCCTTTCTTTTTATCTACCACTTCTAGGTCATTGTTCCTGTCTATCTCTCCTGTTGTCTCTTGCTGTCTTCTAGTTGTCTCCCAGAAACTGTCCCCACTTTTTAATTTTAGTTCCCCCATGGCTCCCTATTCATCTCTTCTATATGCCCGTATCCTTCTGTCTCCTTTAATCTAAACCCCTGTGGAGCCCTGACTTATCCCAGCATTACCCCTACTGCCTCTTTAGCTAGTCTCCTTTACTTATTCTGTTCTGTCATTCCTAGTGTTCACCCTGGTTTCATCCTTTTCACCCATATTTCCCTGGCCCCAGATGTCTCTTTATTCTATTTCCCAATCTCCATGTCTCTGTGCCCTCTTGGGATGGGCTCTGCCCCCTTGGTTCCCATTGGCTGGCATGGCCTCTCCTCTTGGTGCCCGTGTTCCCTTCCTTTGGCTCAGCCTGAGCCCAGCCCTCATTCCCCCAACTCCTTTCCCTAGTTTGTGGTGCCTGGTCTGAGCCGTGAGCAGCTCAACTCGCCTGAGCTTGTTTAGTCTAACTCCCTTAGCCCCTTAGCAGCTTAGCCCTCCCACCTCTCCTGTGAGCCCTCCAGTAAACAAGAGGATCAGGGAAGACCTGACAGCTGTCAGGTGGGGGCAAGTGTCTGGCCAGCCTAGAGCAGGCATGAAAAGGAGGCTGCACTCAACACTTCCTATTCCTTCTTTCTTCAGGGAAATTCTAGAGCCTCTTTCTTGATGTCCACCCCCGAGTATGGAGTTTCTTGTCTCCAGGATCCCTATTCCTATTTTTTAGCTGGTTTCTAGGCCTTGAGCTTTTTGCTTCTTCTGAGAAAATGGCTCTAGAAGCAGGCAATCACACAGAGAAGCCTTTCAACTTGAATGATGATGATGGATTCTGCTCGATAAAATGGAGGCCCTAATCTGATCTAGGTCTTCTAACAAATGTGTGAAAGTACATGCTATATTATGGATCTACTTTTTGGGGTACCGGGGATTGAACTCAGGGGCATTCGATTGCTGAACCACACCCCCAGCCCTATTTTGTATTTTACTTAGGGTCTCACTGAGTTGCTTAGCTTATTTTTACTGAGGCTGATTTTGAACTGGAGATCTTCCTGTCTCAGCCTCCCGAGCCACTGGGATTACAGGCATGCGCCACCGTGCTGGCTCGTGTGGATCTTAAATGTCTGCAAAAGGCCCATGTGTTAAAGGCCTAGTCCCCAGCTTGGTGCTTTTCAGAAGTGGTGGAAACTAAGAGGTGGGGCCTAGTAGGAGGTCTTCTGATCACTGGGGATGTGCTCTTGAAGGAGGCAGTTGAAACTCAGCCTCTTTCCTTTCCTCTTTTTTTCTTTTCCCATTCAGGAGGTGAGAAGCTTTTTTCACCATGCTCTCCCTTCCATGAGCTACCTCACCACAGACCCAAAGCAACAAGGCCAATTGATCATGGAAACCTCCAAAACTGTGAGCCAAAATAAACCTTCTTTACTTATATATTTATCACCCCAGGTATTTGGTATAGTAACAAAAAGCTGATTAACACAGCATGGTAGGAGAGACTACACACACACACACACACACACACACACACACACACACACACACACACACTCACAAGCAAGCATACACTAAGAAAAGCTGGGTTGAATGCAGGAAACTATAGAACAGTTGTTCTCAAACGTTAATGTGCATCAGAATTGCTAGAAGAAGCTGTTAAAACAGATTTCTGGGCTCCACCTCCAGAGTTTCTTTTTTTTTTAATATTTATTATTTTTTAGTTCTCGGCGGACACAACATCTTTGTTGGTATGTGGTGCTGAGGATCCAATGCGGGCGCACGCATGCCAGGCGAGCGCACTACCGCTTGAGCCACATCCCCAGCCCTCCAGAGTTTCTGATTTAGTAGGTGAAGTGGGAGATTTGAGAAGGATTTCCCTGCATTTCCCAGCTTTGAACTCCTGGACTTAAGTGATCCTCCCATCTTAGTCTTCTGAGTGCTAGAACTCTAGGCATGTACCACTGCACTGAACTTGAATTTATCTATTTAACAAATTCCCAGGAAATGTTGGTGCTGATGGCCTAGAGACAATACTTTGAGAAATATTGTTTTAATAATCTTCATCTACCAGCTCTTTCCTAACACCTAAGGCTGGGGCCAGTTAATTTTCAAAACTGAGGACCAATCAATGAGGTGAAGAGAGAACCTACATTTTGGGAGCAAATTTTTGCCACATGTACATCAAATATAGCACTAATCTCCAGGATATATAAAGAACTAAAAAAAATTAACATCAAAAACCCCCAAACAACCCAATCAATAAATGGGCTAAGGAGCTGAACAGACACTTCTCAGAAAAAGATATGCAATCACTCAACAATATAGAAAAATATTCAACAACTCTAGTAATTAGAGAAATACAAATTGAAACTACTCTAAGATTTCATATCATGCCTGTCAGAATGGCAGTTATCAAGAATACAAACAATAATAAGTGTTGGTGAGGATGTGGGGGAAAAGGCATACTCATACATTGCTGGAGGAACTGCAAATGAATGCAACCAATCTGGAAAGCAGTATGGAGATTCCTTAGAAAACTTGGAATGGAACCACCATTTGACCCAGCTATCCTACTCCTTGGTATATACCCAAAGGACTTAAAATCAGCATACTACAAGGACACAACCACATCAATGTTTATAGCAGCTCAATTCACAATAGCTAAACTGTGGAACCAACCTAGATGCCCTTCAATAGATGAATGGATAAAGAAACTGTTGTGGGGCTGGGGTTGTGGCTCAGAGGTAGAGCACTTTCCTAGCATATGCAGGGTCCTGGGTTCGATCCTCAGCACCACATAAAAATAAGATGGAGATATTGTGTCCAACTACAACTAAAAATATATATATATATTAAAAAAGAAACTGTTGTATGTATTCACAATTGAATATTACTCAGCATTAAGAGAGAATAAAATTATGGCATTTGCAGGTTAATGGATGGAGTTGGAGAATATCATGCTAAGGAAAGTAAGCCAATCCCAAAAATCCAAAGGCCGCATGTTCTCTCTGATAAGTGGATGCTGATCCATATGAGGGCGGGGCATAGGAAAAATGGAGGAACTTTGATTGGGCAAAGGGGAAGGAGGGAAGGGGTGGGGGCATGGGGGCAGGAAAGATGGTGGAATGAGATGGACATCATTAAACTAGGTACATGTATGACTGCACATTTGGTGTAATGTTACACTGTATGCAACCACAGAAATGAAAAGTTGTGCTTCAACTGTGTACAATGAATCGAAATGCATTTTGCTGTCATAGATACCTAATTAAAATATTAAAAAAACTGAGGACCTTTGGGGCTAAGAGAAACCTAGTGTCCTCAGAAGGCATGGAATAGCTTTTAAACTCTTGGAGTTCTATTCTAGTAGAGACCCCATTTAAACAGCTTTGGACAGGTTTAAACATCTCCTTGGCTAATTCCTAGTATCTCTATTCCAACTCCTACTGGGGGATGATAGCTCTAAGAGGTGTTAGGGGATTAGGCTGAAAATATAGGTCATTCACTAGCCATCTGGGAACCATGATGAGTGGGAGAGAGGGAGAGGGGCAGAGACACAGGAAAAAGGTGAGAAAAAGCAGAGGGCTTGTGAGGGCAGTTACAAAAGTGTTATCGGATAGACTGGTGATTAGATTTCAGTGTCCTTTGGTGGCCTGGAAGGAGGAGCAGAGTTTCCTGTTCTCTCTTCTTCTGCACCTTCTTCCAAGCTGGGCTACCTGTCTGGGGCTGGGTTATTAAGAGTGGGAGAGACTGAGAATCGGATGGCCAAGTTCTGGAGATTCCTCATGGGGAAAGCTGCAATTTTTGTGAGAGGCATAAGGCCATTTAGGGTTAAGGTGGACAAGGAACAGAAATATGAGTGTACTTGAAAAAGGGAAGCAGATGCAACAGGTGAAAATGGGCTTGGGAGAATCTGTACTTCCCACAGACATGGATGAGGGGCTCAGAGCCTTAGAAGTTGGGCTGCTGGGAGCTTGTCTGGCCCTCTTTCCCAGGCCCAGGCTTTGAGGGTAGAGGGCTGAGAGTTGTATTCACATAGAGGGGTAGTGGTTGGGGCCATTGTGGGAATGAAGCATATATGAGTCGGACCATCAGTGATCAGCTTTGTAGGGGTAGATGGTCCCTCTCCTTTGAGAATAGGCATGCGTGTCCTCTCCTCTGTCTCTCTCCACTCCAATCCCCCACCCCATGTCAATGAGATATGCAAATTATTCCCTTATCTTATTGGCTGAGGCCTAAGGACCAAAGATGAGCTCAGAGAGCTGGCCTTTTAAGAGTGCCCTTTGGGCTCTGTGCCTATAGCCCCATAGTTCTGAACACAGAGGCACCAGGCCCTGCTCCATGGGGCCTCCAATCTCTGGAGAAGCTGTGCCTGTCTGGCTCTGACACTGACCATATCATCTCTTGCCATCCCTAAAGTAAGTATGTCTGGGTACCTGGGTGTCAGACTTCTCACCTGTAGTTCCTTCCTCAGACAACTGCTATTCCTGTTGTCAGTTTTCTAGAATCCTCAAATTTCTGCACCCTACCCCACCCCTGTACTGGCTGCCATCATATCAGAGAGATAATCAATCTTCCCCACTTACCTCTTCTCTGCACATCCAGTTCTCTCTGGACCCTGATTCAGGTCTCACCATCTCCTTCCAGTCAAAGACCAGTTCCTTCAATCGTCTCTTTGTTTTCAACTCCTCTGTGCTCTAAGGGCAAAGAGCTCCATAGAGAATACAGAACCTTTTCTGAGACAAAAAAAGAGGTCTTGTCCTTCCTTTCACCTCTGTAGGTATGGTCTGGGGATCTGAGATGTGACCGAGAGGAGAATTATCTAGGCTTGGGGCATCAAGAGGGAGCCAAAGTCTAAGGGGATGAACACTCCTTGCTCTGCTCATTCTGAGGGTGGGAGTGGAGCTGTTGGAATTGGGAGCTGGGCAAGAGCCGGGACTTTCAGGCTGGGAAGGATCTCTGAAAGGCAGAGAGGTTCCCCAAGTGCATACGTGCTCTGTGGTTGGTAACAGAGAAGAGAGAGTTATTTGGTGTCATAAGTTTGGGACACTCTGTGTTGAAGTTGAACAGATGGTTTGCTAAAGGACTTCTCAGATTAATTGCTCTTCTGCGAGAGGTAGGGATAGGAGGCAGCCTTTCTAAAATTATTTGAGCATAGACCTCTTCTTGGGTACTTCTTAGAGTTTGTGTTTAACAGAACACTCTTTGGGAGATGTTATAAAGTCTAAATGCCCTCATTGGGAAAAAAAAAAGGAAAGTGTGTTAGAAAAGCACAGGCAATCTGCTCAATATAGCAGATTTGAATCAAAGGGGTGAAATTCAGAGTTGGTGGGTTCTTCCTTGGAGAGATTGGTTTTGAGGAAAGATGGTGGCCACTCAGTTCAGATCTTTCTAGAACTAGTTCTAGGACTTTTATTTTTCTCCTAGAAAGTCTCTTTTTTTCTATAACAGAGAATCAATGACTAATCCATAGTACAAATGAGCACCAAGAGTCTTCTTGAGACACTGTTCTGAGTGCCTTGAAAGACAGATAAGATAGAGATGTAACAGCACAGTATCCTTATATCTTAAGATTCACAGCACATATGCCTTCTCACTGTCCTAAAACACACACACATTCAGTCACAGTTAATTAAGCACAATTTTTTAATTGCTTGGAAATGGAATGCTATCTCTTGAGATGACAGGGCCTCTCAGTATGTCTCTGCACTAGGGTTGGGAAAACTGCATATTACTCTTGTTTTTCATTAATTCCAGAGTCTCCTGTGGGGTGAGAGTCCTCTTCTTCCATCAGGTCTTCAATTGCTTGCCCCTGTCAGGAACCCATGCTAACTGAAAGGTTGCCTCCGAGTCTGGAGGAACAGGACTGCACCATTAATTTGGTTTTTCAGAACTCTGGCTCCAGCACATTTGAACTTTGGAGGAAGAGGATTTGGTAGAAGAGGATGACAGGCAGCCTCCACGTACTCCAGACCTCTCTTTCTTGCAGGTGCACATCTCCTAGCCCAGACACAGAATGGCACTGTCCCCCAGCCCCCTGGCCATGGAATATGTCAATGACTTTGACTTGATGAAGTTTGAGGTAAAGCGGGAGCCCCCGGAGGGACGATCAGTGGCCTCAACAGCCTCTCTGGGCTCCACACCTTACAGCTCAGTGCCCCCTTCACCAACCTTCAGTGAGTCAGGCGTGGTGGGGGCCAATGAGGGCCCCCGGGCAGGCCTGGAGGAGCTGTACTGGCTGGCCACCCTGCAGCAGCAGCTGGATTCTGGGGAAGTGCTGGGGCTGAGTCCTGATGAGGCTGTGGAGTTGCTGCAGGGTCAGGGCCCAGTCCCTGTTGAGGGGCCCCATGGCTACTACCCAGAGAACCTAGAGGAAACAGGAGCCCAGCATGCCCAGGTGAGTGACTAGTAGGCTGGTCTGAGGGGAGGCAGGCTGAAAAAGGCGATCCAAGAGAGGGAGAGTTCCTGGAGAGGGTTTTGGACTGGAGAAAGATGGCAGGAAAAGGGAAGAAGGGATCTTAAAAGAAATCAGAGAAAACTACGTTTTTTTTCAAAAGGAAGAGAAACGAATAGACTGAATCAGAAGGAACAGGGATAAGTTAGAAAAGGCCCCCAGAGAGGGATTACAGGGGAGTAAATAGATGCCCCATGTGGAATGGAGCCGGGTTAAGACAGTGGTTGAGGTTGGCCTTTCCAAGGCTTTGTGCTTTCCCAATGCCCAACCTTCTCAGGAAGGATTGGAACTCATCCTATTAATTATAGACACAGATGGGGGTATTGAGGGCATTAGGGCATAATCTAAATCTTTTGAGGGTCACCGGGTTGCGGTCTTCAGGACATGGAAACGTGGCTTGTTGGAGGGGAGGGGACTGTCTGGGCACGGGTCCCTGGTACACAACTGGGCCTGAAGCGGGATGCTGCGAGGGGCACCGAGTGTAGTAGGTGAGCTTGCCTGACAGTGGGAGGCGGGGCCTGCTCTGCAGGGTGTGCCAAGGGGTGCGAGTCGGGTGTCTAGGACCTGTGGGTCTGGACTGAGATGGATTCTGTTAGAAAAGGGGGCATTCAGGTAAAAGTGGGAACCGGGGGTGGAAGCCTTCTCGACAGCGGGGCTAACCCAGAGTTCCCACCTGTGGATGGAGCAGGGTGGGACCCACAGCCGACCAGGTCCCTGCATTGTTCCTCCTCAGCTGGCCGAGCGGTTTTCGGACGCAGCGCTGGTATCCATGTCTGTGCGGGAGCTAAACCGGCAGCTGCGCGGCTGCGGGCGCGACGAGGCGCTTCGGCTGAAGCAGAGGCGCCGCACGCTGAAGAACCGCGGTTACGCGCAGGCCTGTCGCTCCAAGCGGCTGCAGCAGCGGCGCGGGCTGGAGGCGGAGCGCGCCCGCCTGGCTGCTCAGTTAGACGCGCTGCGGGCGGAGGTAGCTCGCCTGTCTCGGGAGCGCGACCTCTACAAGGCTCGCTGTGACCGGTTGACATCTAGCGGCCCCGGGCCCGGGGACCACACCCACCTCCTCCTCTGAGCAGCTGGGGCAGGGGGCGTGGGCCGTGGAGGTGGTTGAGTTGGAGATTAGCAGCCAGCTAACCCCTGTCCACTGGTCCCATCCACTCCCCGTATGACCACACAAATAACCCCAAACATTCTGGACCTTCAAGGCATGCCGGAAGTTAGCCTGGCCATTTTCTGGGAGAGGTAACGCCTCCACTCATACACCTCCTCAGGCCATAAACCTTACCTTTCATGAGTAGCAAGCATACTGAGCTCTGCAGGGGCCAATGACAGGCACTGAAGGTGCAGGTGTGGAGGATGGTTGAGTGGCACAGTGAATGGAAGGAGAGGGAGTGGTACATTTCCCCCCTCAGTTTAGTTCTTAATTCAAGGTTTTCAACTTGTAGTGCATTAAGACTACAATTAGCAATGAGGCTGTTTTTTTTTTTTTTTTTTTTTTTTTTTTTTTTTTTTCACTTGAAGGACTGTAACCTCCCCATTTTAGGCCTACTGCATTTTCAAGATTTAATAATTCTCAACAGCAAGACTAGGAACTCTACCCAATTTGTGTTTCCTTGCCCAACCCAGTGGCCTGCAGGGTCCAGAGCAGTACAGGTCTGAGAAGTAAACCCTGGGAGTGGTTTGGTGTCAACTGGGAAAGAGCCCTTGGTGCTAATCACGGCTCTGCCATAGGAGCCCTTTGTCACCTTGAGCTAATCAATTGTTCCCTGGGACTTAGACACTTCATCTAATTTTCACTTAGATTGGATGACTTCTGGCACTTTTTCAGTTTTGGCACCTCATCCATGAGGGACTCCCAATGGTGTCCCCAAGAGGTCCGTAAGACAAGCTTACAGAAAGCCCTCTTGTCCTGCTTTAGCTTCCTAGCTGCAGCCTAAGCTGTGGGAGAGCAATCCAGGAGGGGAAGCATGCACTGGGAAACAGGCACTGGGCCTCTGCTACTTCCTCCAAGCTGCCTCAGTCTCCAGACCTACCTAGGGTGTCCCTGCTACTTCCTGCCTCTGAGGGCTGAGGTGAGACTTCCCAGGATGACGGGGAGCTGAGTGCAGCTTTTATGAATTAAACTTGAAGCCCAGGTGGAATTCTAATGTTACTGGCTAAATGTTCTTGCAATTTAAGAAATGTTCGTTCTCTATCCCTGTTTCATGTTACTATTTTGTGCATCTGTGTGCATATCAGAAAGAGGGTGGGAGAAACCACCTGGAACTGAGTGGCACATCTCAGTAATGAAGGGCTAATGAAAATGGGGTAGAGGGGTGGGAATTGGTCCAGATGGAGCCTCTACCTTCCACCACCGCCACCACGAAAGCCCAGGAGCAGCAGTGGTCTAGCTAGGCTTGCCTGTGGTTATCCTCAAGGTCTCACAGTTGCCATGGTAACCCCTGCGGTTCCGCAGCATATGGGGAGGGCCAGTGGGGCCTCTGGGCAGAGCAGAGGCATTGAGCTGGGAGCAGCCACCTCATCAGCCACTGTTGTCTGTCCTCTAAGGGACATAATAAATGGGAGAAGTGGTTGGGTATGGGGGAAGCGGCTCCCATATGTCTCTCTTCCTTTCTGCCCCCTCTATCCACCCCCTCCCCAGCTGTCTCTTCTCTTCTCCTCACAGTTCTTGTTCCCTCTCCTCCTCTAGCCCATCCTCCACTCAGGAGCCTGCAACAGGAGTCCTTTCCTCCATCCCCCCTTAGAGTTTCTCTTCTCCCTTCCCTACCTTTGGCTAATGGCTATCCTCTCTGGCTCTCATACCCCTCTGAGGGCTCATGGGAGAGGTAACTCCTCCATCCTCTTCCACACTTCTCGTTGAAAGGAGGGACTTGGGTGGAGAAGATCCCTCAGGAGCTCAGCTCTTCTTCCTTTACTCTGAATTTCACCTGTGTCCTTGCCTGCTCCCCGGAACTTTAATCCATACTCTCTGCTTCTCTTGCAAACCTTTCTTACCTTCATTGCACAACAGGGCTGAGATACTCATCCACATATACCTGCACATACAACTAGGTCATATATACATACACCTGAGTCTCAAGGTGATAAAGCTGGATCAGAGGGCTATACCTCAAATAAAGTTTGCACATTGTAATGATGAAGAGTGTGGGTGTTTTATAGTCAGCTGGGCCTGGACTCAAGCTCCAGTTCTACGAATTATTCTCTGGCCATGGGTAAGATAAAAATCAAGCCTCACTTGCTTTGTCAGAAAAATAGGGGAAATGATGATAACTATTAATGAAAATGAATGCATTTAAAGAAGCAAAGTTTGACGCATGCTAAAGAATAAACTTTGCTGCTGTTGTTAATGTTATCATCAATAGTGCACAGCTGGGCTTCCTGAACCACTGAAGCCACATTCATGGAGGGCCAGGGATATGTGGTGCATGAAAGCACATACATTTACACACCCAGGAAAATCAGGTTGTGCATTCCTTAAATGCCCTCTCTATGCTCCGACTTCACTAACTGATCTGCTGCCTCCTTCAGTCACCTCCCCAACAATCTTTCTTGACCCACCCCACAGCTGTGTGGAGGCAGGGGTTCAACCCTCAGGGACTCAGCATGCTTCTCTGTAGACAGCTGTAAGAAAGCATCAGCCTGCCCCTTCTTGACAGCCCCTTATTACCTCCCCATCTCCTATAACTAACCCCCACAGTGTCTGGACCCCTGTGCTTGGGAAGTAAGGGTGGGGGCTCCTTAGAGCTCACTGGCACATGATTGGGGTAAGACTGCAGAGACCATGCCTGCCTGGGGAGGTTTGGCTCAGATTTTGAAAGGTGCTGGCCCACATTTTCTATGGTTTGTATGGGTACTGCAGACTACCCAATGAACATCCGAGACATGATAGGTAGAGATGGAGGTGCTAGGAGTGGTTCCTTTTATTAATGGCAGGAAAGTCAGGATTACTGAAGGAAGTCACTGAGGGCCACAAACTAGAGGGGTATGGGGCTTGGAAAGATGGGGGCAGGGCCCATCACTCACTTCCAGAACCCAGGGGGCACAGCTGGTTCAAGAGGCAGAGGCACTAGTCACTTGAGTCACATGGGTCAGGACAGGCACCTGGGAAGGTGTGGAATAGTCATAAGCCAAAGTAGTCTCCTTAGAATGAGACCCCACTTTGCATATCCTTTGTGTGCACCCTTTTCGGGCCCCAGGACTCACTGAGAGGTGGAGGGTGTGTCGATCCGATGGGAGGCAGTCATGGGCTAGGGCTGGGAGTCGTGGCTGGCGTGCAGGGCCTGGGAGCCCCAGGGCTGATGCCCTGACTGGCGTAGTACTCCACCACCTGCCGGGGCACCTCAGCCAGGACGCACTTAGCCAGAGCAGACGGGGCAGCCTGGGATGGGGCGGAGACATGGTTAGGGGCTGGATCAGATGAGCGAAGGACTGCGGAGTGGTCAGCTGGGCTCCAGCGCACTTCGCAGGACATCAAGCAGATGAGACATAGATGTCAGATCTGAGGGCAAGAGGAGCTGAGGAGCCCTTCCGCTGGAGGGGCACCGAGCACTCACATCCTTGAAGTCCCGGAAGGGCACGAATTGGACGATGTCACGGGCTGCCGGCACCCCTCGGGGGCAGCGCAAGGGACCATCGTCTCCGTCCAGCAGCCGCATGTCAGAGAAGTCGGCATTGCCCACACCCACGATGATAATGGACATGGGCAGGCGGGAGGCGTGCACAATCGCTGTGCGGGTCTCAGCCATGTCACTCACCACTCCGTCCGTGAGCACCAGCAGCACTGAGTACTTCTGAGGGCAGAGAGAGGGGGAAGAAAGGTCGTCTCTGTGTGCAAGGATATTGACGCCTATCCCCAGCCCAGGCCCTGGATCTGATATCACCTGAGGACACACACGGTACAGGCAGCACCTGCTTGTCTATTTTATCTCCTCACCGTGGCTTGGCCGGTGCTCTGTTCCCGCTGTGCAGGCCCAGCAACACGATTGATGATGGGGGCTACGTTGGTGGGGCCATACAGCTGGATCTGTGGCAAGCACCGACGGTAGGAAGCAATGACCCCTGAGATCTCTGTGGGCAAAGAAAAGAGGTGTAACTAGCAGAGATCAGGAGGTGCTTCTGTTCTTGGGAACTGCCACCTCAATTTCCTCACTAAAACAGGAAGAAAGTTGGGTAGTTTCCTGGGCTGAAAGGGTTGTGTGGGTAGACTCTGGGCTGTGGGAAGGAGTCTTACCCAGTGAAGCCAGGCCTTGGATGTGTAAAAGGGACAGGGCGCTGAGCCCATGGGATTGGAGTCTGTGCTCCCCTGTGAGATGTACAGATATGCGCAGCAAGCATGTGTGGCAGGTAGGAGGTAGGTTGGTGGGACTTTCCCAGTTTACCTTCACATTCAGGATTTTCTGGGTCAAAGTTGATGGCAAAGTCATGGGACACCTGTGTGGATAAGGTGAGCACAATGAGGGGGTGAGTCTTCTTCCTGTCTGACACCCCCATATCCTCCCTTCCCCTATACCCAGCCTACCTCGAAGTTGGGGGGGATCCGGGCTCCAAAGCCAAAAGCTGGGAACCGCTTATCACTAGAGAGAAGAAAAGGCTGTAGGGCTCCTGGGGCAAGGCTGGCCTTCCTGTTCCTCCCTATCTCCCTCTTACCTGTCATAGTCCTGGCAGATGCCTCCCACTGCACGCAGGGCCTGCAGGTAGTGGTTGGGCTGGCGGGGACTGAGGCAGTGGAGGGACTGGCTGCTCCTTGGGTCCCCATTGGAGGCGGTGAAGTCGATGGCCACCTGGTGAGGATGAGGGTGAGGGTGAGGAAAGGATCATGCTGTAGCTATGAGAGCTGCCACAGAGGCTAGCCAGGACTAGAGTAGGACTGTAGGGAGGACTGAGATGAGTCTGGGGGACCACAGGTAGTCTCAGTGTGGTGAGCTATGTGGTATAAGCTAACATTTCTAAGACTCGTAAGAAGCATGAGTAGGGGCAGTGGGATTATGGGTTCATTGCAGACTTAGACTCTCCCTCTTATTTGTGCCCCTATTCCCTGGGCCTTTACCGTGAAGCTGATCTGGCAGCCACCCATGATGTAATCCAGAAAGGTGTGCACCTTCTCCACCTGGCAGAAGGAGGAGAGAAAATGAGGTGGGGACATGGTCTTTTGGGGAAGAAGTTTGGATAGAGCTTCTGTGGGAAAGGTGGAGGGACCAGAGTTTTTGAGGTTGCAGTTGGGGGTAGGATGGGGCAGGGATTCCCAGTTCCCAGGATTAGAGAAATGGTTAGTCTTTGAAACAAGGGAAGGGTTGAATCAGATTGTGGCAGGGGAAGGGGCAGAGGCAACACTTGAAACAAGAATTTACCGTGCACTGGGCCAGGACTACCGTCCCTGAGCTCTTGTAATTTTTCTTCTTGTCCCGATACTTGGGATTGATACAGTCCCACTGCATCTAGACCACATGCACCCCACAAACACAGGGTCATAAGTCCATCAGGTGGCCTCTCTTGCCCCTTTCCAGCAAAGCCTCCTAGAGCAAGATCCCCATGGCTCCATCCTTTGACCAAATCTGGGGACTTTCCACCCTTTCCACCTCCAGCCAATTATGGTGGTCTCTTCAGAGTCACCCTTAGGATTTTCCCAGGAATTTGGGTGGGATTCTGAGGTGGGGTAGGGTCTCTGTGGCACCTCCTGCCCAGGGTTTGCCGTCCCTTCCTGCATCTCCTGGAAAGTGCTGGTGAACTCGCCAATGAAGTCATGCTTCCCACTGGAGTCATAGTCATACACCAGGAACTGAAAATGGAGGGGGAGAGGTGGGATCTGGGTTAGGGATGCTTTGTGGTGCTTTTTAAGTGGGGTGGGGGATTCAGGGTGGTAGGAGCTGCACAGTCTCTAGACCCACACAGATATTGACCGGCCTAGAGAGCTACCTGCTGAACTTGGTTCTTTAGCTCAATCTGGCAGGGACTTTGGCCTCTGATAAAAATCACACATGTGGGAAGCTTAACATCGAGCTGTGAACTGTTATTTATCCCACAGTGAGAAGTGCTTATCACATGGGGGAGAGGGAGGCAGCTTGCCACACTCGGTGGGGAAGGTCTCAGACAGCAGGCTGGACGTTCCAAGTAGGTTATGCTTGCTTGGCTGGGGCTTCACCTTGAGGGGCCGGTGGACATCACAGCTGCATAGAGAGTGCAGGGACAGGCGGAATGGCTCCCAATTGGGGTTCAGGTTGTTTTTCACCACCTTGGAGAGACACCAGGGGAGGGAGCTCGTTACCTCCTTTCTCGGTTTCCTTGCTCTTCTCTTTGTCCCTCCCATTTCCATAGCTCTAGGCACCGACCTCAGTTCTCCAGACCAGCTGGTCACTTTGGTCCCCATTGGTCTTATAGATCTCCATGAAAGGGTCAGACTTGCTGAACAGGTCCTGGGGATGCAAGGTGAGGGCCCATGAGCTGATGAAGTTTTCAAGGAGGGACTGGAGGGTGCTAACACTGAGAAGGAAACAGGCCCGAGACTCTGGGGTTTGTCTCCAATGGGAGGTGTAGAGCTCTCTAACAGGGAACATAGGGGACTGGACTCTGGGGTTCCAACCTTGTTGTCCAGTTTGTGGGCTCTGAAGGTAAGTTGCACATAGTCGTTGGTACCAGATACCTCCTCTGCTACAATCTGCAAGGAGGATACAGGTGGTAGGACTCCACCCACACCCCGCCGACCCAGGGCCACCCCATACCCTCCTGACTGGTGAATGTATTCCTGGACATGATATTCTTATGGATGTTCATGCAGGGGCATTGACTACCTGGCCCAAGGGTGAGCACAGGTGACTTTGCCTACCGTGATAGTGGACTTGCCCGCTGTCTTCCCATTCTTCAGCAGTAGTGGCTTAGTGACTTTGGTTTGTGACACGATCTAGGGATGAAGGTAGAAGGAGACAGCAGTAATGCCTTCACCTGCTTTGGCCAGGGTATGAAGGGTAGAAGAATCAGTGCTCTCTGTGTGTCCACAAGGGTTGGCCCTTTGGCTAAGTTAGTGGTGGACTCAGTTTCTACAGCAGCCTTTAGAGGGAGGTACAGGCCTAAGACTTGGGAGGGTGAGGCAGGAGGATTGCAGGTTTGAATTTAACAATCTTAGCAATTTAGCAAAAATCCTCAGCAACTCTGTGAGGCCCCCTCCTGTCAAAAAATAAAAATATAAAGGGCTAGGAATGTAGCTCAGTGGTAAAGCACCCCTGGGATCAACTCCAGTACCTCTCTCCTCCCCAAAAAAGAAGAAAGGCACAGAGGACTAGAGTGTAGTTCAGTGATACAGTGCCTCCTTGGTATGCATGAAGCCATAGATTTAATCCTCAGCACCAAAACAAACAAATAAAAAACAAAAGAGAAGGAAGCACTATAATATTCTCTCCTACAGGGAGAATGTTTACATGAGGAAATTAAGATTCAGAGAGGTTAAGTATCTTGCCCTAGACTGCACAGCCACTGAATGGCAGAGATGGGATCCAGGTCCAGAACTACACTCCAGTCCTCTGTGCCTTCCTCCTCCTCCTCCTCCTCCTCCTCCTTCTTCTTTTTCTTCTTCTTCTTCGGCGGTGAGGGATACTGGAGTTGAACCCAGGGTTGCTTTACCACTGAGCTACATTCCCAGCCCTTTTTATTTTTATTTTATGACAGGGGGGTCTTACAGAGTTGCTGAGGATTTTGCTAAATTGCTAAGACTGGCCTCAAACCTGCAATCCTCCTGCCTCATCCTCCCAAGTCTTAGGCCTATACCTCCCTCTAAAGGTTGCTGTAGAAACTGAGTCCACCACTAACTTAGTCAAAGGGCTGACTCTTGTGGACACACAGAGAGCACAGATTCTTCTACCCTTCACACCCTGGCCAAAGCAGGTGAAGGCATTACAGCTGTCTCCCTCCACCTTCATCCCCAGATGGTGTCACAAACCAAACTAGCTCCAAAGCTAATGCTGTCTCTTAATTTGACTTCCAGAGACAGAAACTGATAAGAGTGGGGTGGGATGAGCAGGAATGCAGACCTGGCCCAAGGTACACTCCATAGAGCCAAGGAAGGTGTCATTGCGGGGGCTGGTGGCTCCATCCTCAGCATCAAACACATGGAATTGCAGGGGCTGCTTCTCTTCAAAAAAGTACTCGAGGGCCAGGACCCGGGAGAAGACAGGACTGGAACAGGAGCGAAGCACCTCTGTGTGCTCCACCTGCAGGAGGAGGGGTTAGGGCTTTCTGAGAATGGAGGTGACTTTTCCCTGCCCTTGACTGCTCAGGTCATGCCAGCTCTCCTTGGGCCACCACATCCTCAACAACAAGCTCTTCTTTTCCTAGGTTGACCCCTAAGCTCAGGGGGCTGTCGCACGCTCAGCGCTCTGGGGCTCTCAAGGCCTTTGGGATCTCTTCCATCGCCTCAAGGGCAACATCAGAAACCTCTGGGACTCTGTGAGCTTTCAACTGTAAAATGGTTTGGGTTTGTCATGATGGCATACTCGTCTCCAAGGTTACCCACATGGCCTAGAAAAGGTCCCCTGAGCCCTTGCATTTCCCTACACTAGGCTTTCATTGCCCACAACCGCCCTCCCTCTTCCCAGATTAACCCAGAAGGTTAGTTAAGGAAAAATCCAAGCCCTCTCACCTCCACCCACTGCTCATCAGAGTAGAGCTTGAGCAGCACACAGGGGTGGGGCTTGGTGAGTGTGTCTCGGTCCAAGAGGCCCTGGCAGGACACGCGTAGCTCCACACGAGAGGCTCCCAGCGTCATGGCTGGGGGCTCAGGCACCCATCCCATCTCAGGGTCCGACATGTCTCTGAGGGGATGAGCAGATGGCTTGGACCCTGGAAGGAGAACCAGAAGAGGAGGACTGTTCTCTGGGGACCCAGGACCCCCGGCCCCCCCACCTTGCCCTCCTTACTGAGGCCCTGGGGTCTCATGGACTTCCTGCTTCCCCTGCCTTCTGCCCGACTTCCCCAGAACTCTGAGCAGGGTAGGATGGAGGAGCAGAGCCTCTCCCTGTTGTGCTTCTGTCAGCTACCAGCCTAGGTATGTGCGGATGGGGATGGAAAGTGTTGGGGGACGCAGCAGGGTTCCTGGCAGTCCTGGCTTCCAGGCCATCGATTGATCCATGCTGTCTGCTGGCTCAGCATCTTCTGCTATTTCCCGACTGGTGTTTGAGCCAGCACTGCACTCAGTCTTGGCATGAGCGAGCTGAACTGGGGCAAGGGGGTGGGCAGGGGCTGGAGAGGCCCCTGGAGGTCTGAAGAGAAAAGGTCTCAGGAATGAAATCCGAAGTAGGCAGGAGGAGACAGGTTGGAAGGTGCTCTGCTGGGCTGTCCCTGTCCTTTCCCTACCCCCACTCACCTTCTGGCTGCCTGATGGGAAAGGAGGGGCAGTGGGCTTGGGAATTAGATTCAGGACCAGAGCTCTGCTGAAGGCTCCCCCAGGCTCCTGGCAATGGCTCTCACTATGACAAAAATTGCAGCCCTCCCCCCTCCTCTGGTCTCACACTTCTTGGCAACACTGGCGCTGTCTCTTAGCGACAGGGTTTTGGGGGAGCCACAGCCCCCTCCATGCTGCCCGTGGGATGCATGCGCTCCATCCTCCCCCAGCGCTGCTACAAAACCTTGGGCAGCAGCAGACAGGGGTATGCCAGCCTGAGTTCATGGCCGGTCAGTCCATCTATCTGTGTCTGTCCAGGTCTCAAGGGTGAGACTGTCGGATCTCATGCCGTGCTTTCCCCGAATGAGTGTGTGTTAGTGTGTCTGAGTGCCCCACCCTCTGTGTCTGCCCCTTTCTGTCATGTGTCCATCTCCGGGAGGGTGTGACAGTTTCTGTACCTCCTTCAAAACTGAGACCCTTCCCTGGTTGGTACCCATCTTCTCACAATGTATCCTTGTAGGTATGTGAGTGAGGGTCTGGGCTGGGATTTTCTGCCTTGTAGCTATGAGTCTCCCCACTCTTGTGGGTCTCCTGATTGATATAGGCAGGGACATTTGGTGGTGAGGGGATCAGGCAGGGTTGAGGGACCTCTCTGGGGGCCAGAGGAGATGTTGTTATGGAGACTGGGCCAGGTTGGATAGGACCAGGGCTGCTCTAGGGAGAAAGGGTGGGCTCACCTGGGCTCTCAGTCGGGGGCTCTTCTCTCCGGCTCTCCTCTCCAGCCCTGGCCCTGACTCCCTTGCTGCTCCAGCCGCTGGCGCCGGCTCCGGCTCCAGCTCTGCTGCTATTTATGGGGCCTGGATGGGGAGGGATGGGGGGGCCGCAGCACAAGCTCCCCCCGCACAGACTGGTTGGGAGGGAGAAGAGGGGAGAGGCAGGGCCATTGCCTGTGAGGGAGCCACAGAACTGGGGAAGGAGGGCGGGCTGGGGGTGGCTCAGAGGCAGGACCCCCGCAGACACAGTGACACACGTCTTCCCCTTCACACCACACCCACACCCAGCATCACAGAGATGCACATGCCGCAGTGGTGCATGCACACACATCCACACACATCCACACACATCCACACAGAAAGAATGGCGACACGTGCACCCACGGCTCACACATATCTTGACACACACACAGGCGCCAGTACGTAAACTCACTGTGACACCATGACAGTTACAGCCCCACCCATACACAGTGTGAAACACACCCAGTCTCAGTGCTTTCAACAGTTTTACACTTGTTAAGGATATTTGCAGTCACATATCAAAGAACACTGGGCTTTACTTGTCACACACATATATATATATGGGTTCACTCACACCAACCCAGGATACAACAGGATGTTGATTTCACGTGCTGTTTAAAAACCGCTACACACCACGCAGACCCTCATGGCTTTAAGAATGATGTCCAGTTTCCTAGCCACCTTTTTATAAGGAGAAACAGGAAACGGACATGATTGGTTAGGACACAGACTCACATCCTGGGCATGAAGCCCTGGAGGACAGCGCTGCACAGTGCGGGCATGTGCTGAAGGACTGATACCCAAGGCGTCTTCCTGGTGACACAGAACCACCCCTCTCTCCAACTGCGCATGTAGGGCCACATCCCTGTGGGAGTGACCGTGCCATGTGCAGATCTTAAGGAAGCAAGACATTAGTCATTCTTAGTGATACCAGGGGAGGTGAACAATTAATTGCCCGGGGAGCTATAAGTCACACATGAAGACGTTTGAACACATGGCGATCTGGGATAAGAACACAAGAGCATTCACCAGGACATCTTCCTTTAAGCTGCTCATTTATTAAGGTAGCAACTATTTATTGGGTGCCAGGCACTATACCAGGCACTGGGGCTAACCAGGTAGTTTGAATGTAGCCTCTCCCCTGGGGGAGGCAGAAGTGTCTGGAAGAGAGAGGCGCACATGCAGAGATGATACACCAATACGAAATGCAATGAAGTGTGACCGATGCAACATCACCGACCTGCTGAGAAGGCAGTGGGGCCTTGTGAGGAGGGGCTGAATGCAGGTGAGTGGGGAGGACATCAAGAAGGCCACACAGAGGAAGAGGCTGTTAAGAGGCTCTGAATATCAAAGGTACTGAGGGAAATGATTAATTTAATCATTGATTTCCTCATGTCATAGAGACTCTGTTCACCTGTATGCTACTCTACTGTTGAGATTTTTGACTATTGAGGGTGCTCACAGGATGACACGTGTGACACTGATAGTGAGCATATGTGTGAATGCATATACACATGCACACCCCACTGCTCCCCAATCTCCTCCTGGTATGTTGGGGCCTTTCCATCCCATTGCATCCTCCAAAGCTGGACACACACCATGTTGGTCTCATTTTGCAGCCCTGACCCTGCACTAACAGCCCACCCTCCCAGAGGGACTTAGAAAGTCCCCTTCTGAGCAGCTTTGTTATTCCCCTTCTCCTTTCAGAGCCTCAGCCCCATACCTGTGGGGTGTTCCTCATTTTCCTCCACTGAGGCCAAGCCCCAGAGGCTTGTGGGAAGGGAGCAGATGGTGGGAGTGTGGGAAGTGAATGGGGAAGACAGCAGAGACTGGAGGCAGACATTTTTTTTCCTTTTTTATTCTATACAAGTGGGGAGAAGCCCCTGGGGATACAGGGACAGAGATCTACCCTCCCAGGGGAGGAGACAGGCCCCACCCTGAAGCTCTCTGCAGAGCGAGGCATCAAGGCAGGCACTGAGAGCCTCCCTCTCTCCAGGTTGCTTCCTCCCTTCCAGTCCCTGGCCTCCAGCTCCCCTATGCCTGTTGGACAGGGCTGGCAAGGAGTCTGGGGGAACAGGGATGGATAGGGGTCTGAGTCCTTGTGAGGCACATGTTGAGAGGAAGGCTGGAGAGGAAGGTGTCGTGGCAGCTGTCAGTCTGTTCCTGGCTCACTGGTTCCTGCTGGGGACAAATTCAGGGAACTCTGTTTCCTGGGCAGGGAGAGCCAGCACCCTGTGTTGAATAGATTGAAAGATAGGTGGGAAGGGGTCCTGCCCTCTCACCACTGGCACCTGAGGGGTCAGGGGGCCGTCTTCTATCAGGCTCCAGTTTATCACAGGACTGCGCCCGCCGTGTCCTCTTGGGTTTCAGTGGGGCAGTCCGGCGGCCTGGATCAGGGGGCCCTGAAATGACATTCATAGCAAGCTTGGCATATGTGGGAGATCACAGGCTGGGGTGCCTTTTAAGGGGAACCGATGTGGGCAGCAAGGTCTCTGAGGGTTCCCTGAGCCCCTCACTTAGCCAGGGAAGCAGACCTTGGACTTCAGGCTCCTCTTGGTCTTGCTGTGAGCCCAGCCTCAGCCGGGACTTGTTGACTCCTGGGGCTGTATTCCCAGCCTCGGTCTCCTCCCTGCCTCCTGGTACCTGAGGGGGCCGGCGACCTCTGGGGACAGCTACTGGCTTGGGAGGCCGTGGAGCTAAAGGGGGATCCTGTAGCTGGCAGAGGAAGGAAGGTGCTGGGTTCGTCTCTTGCCCCATCCAAGCACCCTCCCCACCCACCTTGCTGGCCCTCACCTTGGCATTCCTGGCTGGAACCATCCTCTCTGGGAATAAGGCTCCCTCCTTTTCTTCCTCCCCATCTTGGGAGGCTGGGCTAGGGCTCTGGCAGCTGTGGTTGGGGGCACTCTCCTCAGCTGGGGGATGGCAGAGGAGAAGAAGCTACAGGAAAAGGCATGCTTGAAGAGCCCTCCTCGGTGTCCTCCTCTGGGGAAGCCCCATAGGCCAAGACTTTCCCCCTTCAGTTCCATTTGCTCCATCTCTGCCTTTGATGTCCCCTTCTACCCTCCCATGGCCACCTTTCCTTAGCTCCAGGATCACCCTGAGGTCATCACCTCTTGAGGGGCCTCTGGCCTGGATGCCTCTCTTGCAGAGCAGAACCCAGACCCTTTCCTACCAGGGCAGAGCCAGGACATGGGGCCTGTTAGACCCACAGGCATGGCTGCCCATCCAGAGCTGCAGTGCCCCAGGGCTCTGCCAATACTGCAGCCTGAGCCTGACATTCCCAGAACTGTTTGCCAATCTGATTTAGAGACAGTCTCAAGGAGAGTACACTGGCACATGGCTGCCCTCCCCGCGCCTCCTTGCCCCAACTTTTAAGCAGCATGAGTAAACACCTGGCAAATGGAGTCTATATGCGTCACTATGAGGGATGTGTGCAGTGAAGCATCTGCCTATTCTGACTGTGGTTTCCTAAATGAAGGATGCAGCCCTGCTTTGAATACTTGACCCAGTCTGTGTGAGGGATGAGAAATCAGCACAGATGCCCCAGTGCTGGGTTGGCCTTGGAGGATGGGGAAAGCACACAGGCACTGTCATGCCCAGATCAGCTTGGCTCTGGGCACTACAGGGGAGAGAGGAGCAAGGGCCAAAAGGGGCACAAAGGGACTATGGAGACCAGGCAGCCCAAGTCAGACCTGCCTGCCCATCTTTTAACTCCTTCTGGTCCTGTATGTATTAGTCTAGGGGTAGGAGTGGAGGAGGGCAAGGGGGTGTATGTGTCTACAGGAAGATTTTGTCCATGTCAATATTGTCAGGGCTCATATTCCAGGCCTTGGAAATTCAAGTCAATGCTGAGCTGGTCAGCTTTTCTTT